AAGAAAAATACTGTTTTCACAATCACCCCAATTATTTAAGTATATAAAAATCAACATGGTACTTATCTTACATCTTATTGAAAATTCAGTAAAGGAATGGAATCTATATTTTACCACATCAAATTAGTCAGGCAAGAAGATAGATGAAAAGGTGACTTCCACAGAAGTACTGTAGCTCAATCTATAAGAGCTTTGGCATACAAAATACCTTAAAATAAATCACTTCCAATAAGCTTCCAATCTAGAGGATTTGGAGACATTTCATGAAAGGGGATTTTTCAACCTGTAAGCTTCATAAACTCAATCCATGTGTTTTTTGAATATTACTTCGTGCACAAGGGGGAGCTCCTGTAACTCTATATCACAACAAAACCCTGAAGATAATATAGGGAACATAAAGGAAATACAGCATGAAAGATTTCAGAAAAGAATACATATTCTTCACCCAATAGCAAGAATTACTGTATGCATTTGCACAACTTTATCTGCTTTACTCTTCTGTGTTCAGCATGGATTCCTTAGTACAAAGGAGATGAAAAGCATTTTCCCCCTTAAAGGATGTATGCTCTCAATGAAGAAGGAGCAAACTTATGTATGTTTTAAACAGTCCCTGAGGTGAAGCTGTACAAAAAGAAAGGTAGCACGGTTTTTGAGGCAAGGTGTTGTTTTAATGTAGTGTGTCACAGCAAAAAGGTATGTGAACAGGTAGTCAAAGTCTGTACCATAACAAACACAGAAGAGGACTTAATTAACATGGCTCAGTCAGCCCCTATTCTTGAAATACTCTGCTTTTCAGCACTTAATTTTTTTAGCCTTCCTTTCAAGCAGAATTTTGTGTGGCATCTTAAGGATGTGGGGATTCTTTCAGCAAACTGTAATATGAAGATTCCATAATGGAAAAGAATATAAAATTTCATCTTTGATCATTAGCAATTTTTTTACTCTCTACTATTTGAATAAATAACTTACAAATAAAAAAATTTCTCCTCTTTCTGTGTATAATTTCTAATTATAATTATCTGTGTATAATTTCAGGCATCCACAATTTGCAAAGGAGTTCAACACATTTGCTGATAGCAAAAAATAGCATTCAGCACCACAGTCCACAAGAGAGTGGAGATTCATGCTCTCAGTGGGGCTGTGTCCTCTGTTCTTACCCACATTAATTCCTTTGTCTCCACAACTCATTCCTCCAGTACCCTCTCATTTCAAAAGGTCTTATAGCTCCAGAGCAGATGGGCCATTTCTTGTTCCTACTTGGGTACCAGTAAAGGGTCTAAAGGAACAGGGGAGACAACTCTGGCTTTCAATCAGTGTCTGACTTTGTAACACTCAAAATACTGCTCTAGCAACTAAAAGAAGCCCTTGACAGAAACCCCACATGGTTAGGCACTGAGACAGGAAAGCCCAAGCAACCCAGCAGCAAACAAGTGAGGGAATTCTGCACATAAAATGCCCACAGCCTGAGTGCACAAGTTTGCAGTGAAACTGCACCAAGCCTCTGCTGAGCCAGTTTCAACTGACATTTTTCAATGTTTAACAATATGTTTAATAATATTTTCTAGGGGCTCACAAATGGTACTCCTTGCTGCACGAAGAAGAATCCCCAAAAGTCAAGCTTCTAGTCCAAAGGACAGGATTCCCTGTGGGTAACTGGAAAAAGCTATTTGTATGTGCTGTGTATTTTCCTCCAGCTCAATGTCAGACAGGTTTGATCCATTTCAATTTAAAAATCAGCCAGGAGCATACTCTCAGCATGGTGAATTCAGCATAAACACTGAAAAAGTAGCCAAATTGTAAGAAGAGAGCCCTGTAGTGGGAAGCATCATGCAACCCTGCTGCCAGCTCTGCTGGTAATGCATGGAACCAGGACCACTAACTATTCTGTCTGCATGCTGGAACCCGGCCTCCCTGCGTTCTAAGTACTCTTCTGACTCTTTTCCAAAAACATATTTGAAATTATTATTGATTTTGTAATTTTTTTCTTTAGGGTTACATTCATCTCACATATGCAACTTTACCCCACGGGAATTTTGAAAAACTATAGAGTGAGAGAGCCCAGTGTACAGATATTGGTCTGTCCTAGTTAAAAAGACTGATGCTCTGTCATTTTCCCTTATGTAAGACAGCATTAAATTGACTTTGTTTCCATTCCCCAAAATATAACTGGGGACAGTAATATACTCCCTCTCAGTATTTTATGCTCAATTTAACTGCTATATTGCATTAAATGATGTGCAATCATGTAACCCCAAATGCAAATGAATTCACATTTGGTAAAAAGAATCTCTTTGTTGCTTTCTCCTAATAGAATTTTTTTTGTAGATTTTAATGAACTAGAAAAACCAAACATCCCCATATGGTGAGAAAATTCCAAAGCATGTATTAAAAGAAAAATCTTATGTTACTCATCAAATACTAATAGATGTGACAGGAGAAAAAAATTAAGCTATGAAGATGAAACTCAAATAATTAGCAATTATGGAAAAAAAACATCTATTAGAGTACTTGTAAAAGACTCACCACAGGCTAAAAAAGAAAAACATGCATTTCATATTTCCAGAGTGGAATACATTAAATTTCATCTGAAGCAAATTATTTACAGTTATAAACTTCCCTGGAAAATGAAAACAACACATACAAACTTTGAAATAAATTCATCATGATCAGAAGTACTGAAGATGTTATCTCTTTCTGCCTAAGAGTGTAATGTCTTCTTACCACATGAACGATTTTGAGGAACTTTCTCTGGATGTCAGAAGGTTCCTCACTCAGTCTTTTTCTGGACACTACAGAGTAGTCTGCAGAGCTCTCTGAGCTATATTTGCTGCCTGCCTCACAGGTATCATTCTGGCCATCTAAAGCAGTTTAAAGATCTCCTGAAAACATTTCTCTTTCCCTGGATGAATGCCCTTCCCTGATGCACTAGCCATTTTGGGAGTCAGGCATCATCCTAAAAATAAGCAAAATGTGTACCATCTAGAAATACAGCACTGCTTTCCGGTACCTTGATTTTTGTTTTGAAAAGCTGGCAACAACTCTGGGAATTTGGCCCTGGAATTCCGGTAACTGCCTGATGGTTCACCAGACTGCAGGGCATGAAGGGTGACAGACATTTTGTGTAAGCACTGTAACAGTTGTACAGCTTAAAACTGCAGGAATGAGGTTTGCATGCAGTGAACAAAATACTCGCATTTTTACCTCTGCTGCATTTACCTTTCACTGAACATGATTAAAGAGATCTGTGGTCATATGAAGAAAACAAAGAACTAGAATTCATGGACCATTTCGATGTTGTGTAGCTTCTTCTGCCACATTTGCTATGGGACTGTCTGAGCACCTCCAGGATGAAACAAGGTGACAAGTATTTGTGAAGTATTTACTCACTCAGCTTCTCTCCAGAGAAATGTGTACAGTGTGGAAGGGAGAAGGACATCTGTTTTATACAAGGCTTGGAAAGGAAGATAATATGGCTTGCAAAGGACTTTGTTCTTGTAAAAGTCATCGAGCAGTTTGAGCCTGCCCTAGCCAAGCTCTGTCTCCTACCCAAGAAATTATTTTGTACAGGAAGAGTCCTGTTGTGCCAGAAAAGTTCAGCTGTTGGCAAAGGTATTAATCATTAAACTTTGCTCAGTTTCTAAAATACTTCGTACCTGAAAATGTTTACCACCCTTAGCTGAGCATCACTACCTATTACTGGGGGGATATTACCTTCTAGAGGAGACAGATGTTTTTACCTTTTTACCTTTATCTGTTACTTCTATCTGCTTCAGAAAACACACAAACAACTTTTAGCTTGAATTCTGCACCTGGTGCTTTCCTTGAGAAATCCAGCAAGACCCCTGACCTGACTTAACTCCAAGTGTATACCACTGAAATGCCAATAACCTAAAGAAGCACTTAGGCATAATTCATAACTGTTACATAAAATTCTTACAGAATCCAAGGTGCTAAGTATCTGAGAACAATTACTCAGTGCATGGAAACATATTTATGTTCCTTCAGGATAAGGTTGCGTCCAGAAGTAGTATAGGTAGTGAATAAGGCTCTAGGAAAAGGAACTGCATACTGTTAGATGTATACATTAAATACAAGCTAAATGTGACAATTAAAAAAGGTCAGTACTCTTGAGGAAGCAAGACAGACAGACAGGGAGAGGTGGAAGTAGTTATTTTTGCATTAAGGAAACACACTAAAATATTCCTTGTCTTCATCTGCTGTCAAGAGATGCTTTTTGTGCAACAAAAATACCTTTAACCTTTTAAAGGCATCACACAAATGCATCCAATTAAACTCCCTTGTCTAGAAAGAAGGCATCCGAGCATCTGTTTATTACTATATCTTTTCTACTCCTGCCATACAGAAATTCTAGAAGTCATCAATCTTTACAGCAATGCCTGACACTATTTCTTCCCACTATTAATCTATATATATACTCTATCCCACTACTGAAACAGGCACAGAAATATTCATGAGTTCTTTCATGTGGGTCCTCATCTGGAGAGGCTGAAGGCACAGAACTATTTTACAAAGGAGAGCTGGGATGTAAAGCTGCTCTCTGAACGTAGGAGAAAATTCACCCTGAGCAAAGGGCCAGAACAATGCCTAGGCATCAGTTCAGACTCAGGTACACCTTAAAATAGGATTTAATAATGAATTTTATGATCCACCGGTTATCCACTGGTCTTGTCATAGAACTGCTTTTCTTCCTTATCCTCAACACTTTTCCAACAAAGACCAAGAAACCAGACTGTAACACAAACTTCAGTAGCAGTACACTTTGTAATAATCCTGAACCAGGTGCTTTCTTCAGTTAAATGACATAACATCTAAGGCATTCTTATAATTTCTACAGTGTACTCAAATGCATCAACCACATGCTTGCATTTGCACTCAGTTATTTCCAATTGAATGCTGAAATTTTTTACATTTTTCATAACGAAATTCCTCCCCCTCCAAAAAAAAAAAAAAAAAAAAAGGCAAAACTGTGAGTTATTTACCTTATTACAATTTTTAGAAACTTGACAAAGAGCACTGTTTGACATACTGTCTTTATCTGGCATTCCTAAAAAAAGAATACAGAAAATAAATACATACTGTACATTCTTTGATTGACAGTCAAAATATTTATTAGTAGAACAGCAAAACTGAGGGTTCAATACTTTGATAACATACACATTAATCTGCAATTTTTAAAGAGAAAAACATTTATTCAGAAAAAGGTTTCCTCTAGTGAACAAAAAAAAGACAAAAAGCTAACTTGGGTCAATATTTTAAAGAGCTTGTTCTACAGTTCTTTTTCAAAATTTAGTATGAAGCATGTATGTATACAGGAGTTATTTATATTTTTTCATTTAACATTATCTGTGTCTCAGTATCTGGAAGTCAAATGTGACATTGAGTTTGCACTAATCAGCACTGCTATGCTGTTCTATACTATTATCCTGCAAAGAAAACATATTGGACACCTAACATAGGAGACAAAATTTGCAGATGCAATTGCTAGCCATCAGATATTGTCCTGCCTGGCATCCAGAGAATCCCTGGTAGATAAATATAAGTGCTTTGATTTACATAAGTTATGAATTCCAAAGGCTGCCCTTGGATTCATGTCTACAGCACTATGCCACAGCTTGACAGGTTCTCATGAAGCAGAGGCATACCCAAAATTATTTAGCTATGTAACAGATTAGAGAGCACCATGTTTACTGCAAGCTCAAGCACTAACCTAGATTCTCCAGCAAGTTGTGTAGCCCATTCTAATATAAAAGACTGAGACAGTCTGTTATATTTATTTTACTAGCAGGACTCATGGCCATGTTCCATGGTTCATGTTTACATAAGCAGTAAAATGCTACACGACATCATCCAGTACGTTTTAATCAACAGGTCTGGGTCATAGTGCAGATTTTGGTGCAGCTCTGTACACACTTGTACACAGCTGGGAAGGCAGATGGGCAAGTTCCAAAGTGTCTTTTACTACATGCAGTGTTAATGCAGCTGTAATACCAAACTGAATTAAATTTTTAAAGTTCAATGCCCAAACCTGGAGAATCTCCATCTTCCCCTTTATTTTCTTTTCTCATTTGCTGCCCACCACCTCATATCTAATGTCTCATACTTACTGTCATTGTTGGAGCCAGTTTCCATAACACCATAAGGAGGAGTGAGAAGTCCAGACATATACTGTCGATATTTCTGAAAGACAGCGATGGTACATTCAGTCAGGTACAGATGCATAAAGCTGTTCAAGGAAATATGTGCTATTTATTCTTGTGTCTCCTGCCTTGTGCTTCTCACATGCACATGAGATATGAGACAATCAAACATGTCTTTACTCTTAACACTACAAGGTCTGCTTTCTCGACTGGAGTACACACTGCTGTTATTTCAAAGTTGTGCTAAACCAGTTCCCTCTTTCATCTTCCCCAAAGCATGACTTTAAGGTTTCTCATAAATCAATGTTTTACTTAGCTGTGTGATTTCCCACAAAGATTGTTTTAAAGCTCATTTGAAATTACACTACTTATCTGAATCCAAGCTAGAAAGCTACTTTATTGTAGGAATGGAGACAAGCTAAGGATTCATAAAAATCATGTGCAACAAAAGTTTTGGTTTCAGATTGGAAATATACAGGATGCAGAGTGAAAACTATAAACATTTAAACCCAAGACACTAAGTTTGGTATTCGGAAACCACAAGGCTATGAAACACACAGACCTCACACCTCATATTATGTATACCTCATACAAGAACTGGATTAGCAGATGAAACTTTGTAAAAATAACATCCCTTATACCACTATAAGCTATGTAATTGTAACTGATGTCAGCAACTGGTATTTTTCTTCAGTGAATGCTGATGACATGATCACTAAGGTTCAAAGCTCTGTCTAAGGCTTAAGAAACTCACAGAAGCTATAAAAATAACACCAAAGGAAAAAAACTGTCCTTTTATCAAATACAAATAATTCAATGAATAAGAAACACATTTTTGTTTCAAATTATACTATGTTACTGTCATGATTAAGGATATGCAATTATAATTCCCTTTTGGAACTGCCAGAAAACACGCTTGTGCAATAGGGATTCTCATGTTCAGCGTAAATAAAATTCCTCGTACGGTCCTTTGGGTGTGCAGTGAGCAACGTGAACAATCAATCAGCTGATTGAAATCCATGAAGATTTCAACTAAACACACATGATAATTGAGACAATGGAGTTTTAGTGCAGTAGTGCAACTTTAAAATTAAATTTTTATCCTTTGCTCTATGGAGTTATTTCAATGTATTGACTTTTAAAATGTTGCCTGTTGAATTTTAACAATGCTTGAATTATCCTTCATATATTTATTTTTCTTGGAAATGGAAATGAAATTAATTTCTAGCACTAAAGACTCAATGTCTTGCATTCTAAATAATAACAAAAGCTACAAAGATTACATTAATCTTAATAATCCAATCCTATTTTTAGACAAGCTATTGCATCCTAAAGCTTAGTAACATATTATTTAAATCTCACCCATAATCCAGCTGAATGCTCGTAAAAGCAAATCTATGTCATATCCCTGGTCAGTCACACAAAACAAATGCTATTTCATGTGAGGATAAAACTCTCCTATTTTCTTGCTCAAACCACTGAGTTCCCATATTCTGCATCCAGTCCCATGCCTGAATTCAATGAGAGGACGAATATAAGAAATAATTATTTTCTCAGTTCAACTAGTAAATCATACATATAAACCAAGGGAAAAAGTAATTTTTGTTGGCAAAAAGAAAAAAAACAAAAAAAAACAAACAAAAAAAAAACCAAACAAAACAAAACCAAAACCAAAAGTGTGTCCCAAGAGTTTGAAATAACATTTTATTCAAATAGTAGATAAATATTTTGTTTCACCTTCTACTGACTTTGGTCTTGAAATGTGATTTATAGATGTAAAACTGGAATGTTTCATTTGGGATAAGATAAAAACAAATTGTATAGAATGTTTTTCTCTTCTTCTTCATCATCATTTAGCTGATATGAATTTCTTTGTTCTGTTTTTCCCAAAATAGCATTTTCCCAGAAATACATTACTAGTCCGCATTTAAGCCACTTCTATAAGGAACTTAAACTGAGGGAAGAGAGTAATTTTTTCTTTTATTTCCCATACCATGTCCACAGCCATCATACTGGCATAATACATGGCATTATTTTTTTCTGATTAATTCTCTAATATTTTTCCTGATTAGTCTTCTCATGAGACAAAACACAGAACACAGTATACAATTTCCAAAAGATAGGAGGGCCCATCTTCAGAAAAAACCTACAGGCAGAATAAACCAGAATTAGACACATAACTTTAGAGGAGATATCTAATCCCATTCAGGCACAACTCATGCTCAGGACGCCAAAGTTCCCCAGGAACAAAAGCACAGACTCCTGATACACAACGTAGGTTTTTGGCATCACTCCCAAGGATGTCCACTCTGTCACTTCCTGCATGAGGGTCCCACCCTGCCCTGGGATCAGTCCACTTATGAGTCAGCAAACCCTGTGAGCAGTGCTGCCTGTGAAGGAGCTCAAGCAGCATTACCAGAAGAAGAAATAATTCAAGGCATGCCCTCAGAAAGCTCAGTTGTTCATACTCCTCCGGGGCACCTCCGCATAAATGAAACTTTCTTCTATATCTGGGTATCTCTGGAGGGAGGGCTGATACAACTGCCTACACATGGTCTCTCATGAGGATATCTCAGTGGGTGTGGGCTGACATAAAAGGTATAATTTATGCCTAAACTTGTGTCACCACATCAGCCAAATTAAATGTCAAGGGAAACTTATTTCGAGGAGTCAGGGAAACACTGTTTGCTGGGAAACCTAAGCATGCAAAGACAGACCTAAGTAATTGCAAAAAGATTTGCCAGTATCAGATGGAATAATAAAGTTCCAGGCATGAGATCAGTGAAAGCTGAGATAATGAGACCTATCTTGTTACCATACCGTCTGTAAATGAAAGAAAAATTCAGTAAGCTAAATTATACTCATAGGTGGCATTTAAAATCATCCTGAAGATTAACAGACAAGATATTTACAAAAGGCTTTTGAAAATATATTCCACAGGTAGTATTAAGTCTGGAAAGGCTTTCCTTATGAAAGACAGGCACAATTATCAAATCATCATACGCTTGTTTATTACCAGAAGTCTTCAAGTTTTGTAAATCCAACATGACAGCAGTTTTTAAAGCTACATTCAATGACCTATTCACTCTGTCTTCAGATTTCTACCAATTTATAAACTCTATCATGCAACATCTTAAATAACAGACAATTCCTACATCTAATCTGACAGCATGAGTAATAAAGACAGTATATTTTTTCCAGTTGCTGACTGCCTCATACCCATGCAGTGGTGAAAATTAACACGTTTTGACCTTTTCAGCCACTGCTATGGCCTAAAGCAATGAAGACTGCTGACAAGAAACAGTTGGGGAGAGAAGAAAAGGAAGAAACAGAATCACACACTTGCCCTATTGGGAAGGTGCTGTGAGGGAATGGTTTCTAAGGCCACTTGCTGTCATTGTGTTTCTTTGCCTGCTCACATTAAGGCTTTATTTGTAGTTAGCTGCAGTTTGTCTCATAGGCTTTCATGAGTACAATAGGTTTTCCTCAACCCAGTGAACATAATTAGGTATATTTTTATATGCTAATGTTTAGAAAAGCAATTACTATAATTGTGATGCAAGCTATCTCTAAATTCCTGAAAAACACTTCTACAATACACAAGATATATAAAATATGTCTTTGGTCTTTGTGGTTAGCTTCTGCTGCAAGTAGTGAAGTGCTAATACCTGTTTACAAATATTCCAGAATAAGGTACGTATATGCAAAGAATATAGATGAGCCTTTGTTGTTCATGTCACTGTGTAGCAAAACCACTCTAACAGGAAAGACACAGGACTGATGAAAGGAAGAGCCTCTGGGTATAAAGATTTTAACATAGGTTCTACACCAAATACTCCCCCAAGGGTGGCAGTTCTGCAGCTGGCCAATAAGGGCTGTGCAGTAAGGACACAGGCAGTGATGTAACACTGGGGACACTTTTGTAGACCTCAAAAGGTGCTTGGTTCAATACATGATCTTTCTTTTTCCTTCTTTCTCCTCTATTCACAATCTCAACCACAGTGTCATTTTCTACTGCCTCCTTTTCTGCCTACCCCTAGCTTTGAACAGAGAGGGTGACAAAGCAAAGCCTGCCTAACTTACAAACTTGGGAATAACACAAAATAATTAATTTCAGATGTAGAAGTCCTAAGCCAAACATCAAGGTGACCTTTCCATGCATTTTTCAAAACCGTGTGCAATTATTTCATCAGATGCTCTTATTGTGACTATTGCCTGAGGTCTGCAAAACTCCTGTAATAGCTGTCAATACTTCTGCAATGGTTTCTCTTGGGGAATATATGCTGTAGCTTGACAATGTGAGCCAGCTTCTCTGTTTTCTTTTGACAATAAATAATTGATCACTGATGCTCTCAGTACAACTCTTTTTCCTCTAAGTTGGCAGTGAACCACGTCCCTCATGAGCATTACTCACAAGGGTGTGCCACTCCCATGGTGTACTCTTTCCCCTCTTTTCTCCAGAACAATAAGGAGAGAAGCCCCTGAAAGAAAGAGCCCATGAACACTTTTGGACCTTCTTTTCACTCATCAAATCAAATGGAGATTGTAAAATCCAGACTTTTGCCTTTAGAGTTCATACTCTGGTCCTCACTGAACTGATGGGTAAAATCTCAGGTCATCTACCTGCTATCTGTTTGTGTTATCCAACAACAAGTGCCTAATGTTCTTACAGATTTTCACAAAAAAAAACACGCCAGACTGATTATCACACTGATAGTTGTTTTTCATCCCAATCTTGTTAAAAAGGGGAAATAAACAGCACCCTTGCTTTTGCCCAATAGTATGTGCTGAGTCCCCCAGCAGACTCAGTCTAATTCTGACTTCAGATACTGTCTTCTTAGTATGTTTACAAATTACCAAGTGTATTTCTTCTAAGCATGCTCAATCAGAAAATTTCCATACATTTCAGGTCAATGTCACTTAACTGACTATCAGAAAAAGGACCTAACCCATGGCTATTTAATACTAGATAAAAATCATTGTTTGAAGTTGGTGCTTCACTCTAGAACACCAAGTATCCTAACTATAGCTAAATGTCTG